GGATTTGAACCTGCCACCTTAGGTGTATGTGGCTGGTGCCTTAGCCACTTGAGCCACAGGTGCCGAGCCAGCATTTTTTTTTTTTTTATGTGAAGAAACATTTAATTATAACAGCATATATATAGTTTTTGTTATTAATATCTTGCTTATTCTATCTTAGTTTTTAAATCATTAGAATTCTGACGCAGTGTAGCTCTTGTTGTTTATTAAAATAGATGGTCACATTGCTTGGATTTTTTCCTTTTCCAGTATTTATGAGCAAATTCCCTCAGCTTTAGTTTTACTATATTTAAATTGATATGAGAATCTAATACATGTATGTCTAATAATAGTAACTAATACTTCGCCTAATTAATAACTAATGCTGGCTTGGCATCTGTGGCTCAAGCAGCTAAGGCACTAGCCACATACACCTGAGTTGGCGGGTTCAAATCCAGCCTGAGCCTGGTGAACAACAATGACGGCTGCAACCAAAAAATAGCCGGGCTTGTGACAGGTGCCTGTAGTCCCCGCTACTTGGGAAGTGGAGGAAGGAAAATGGCTGTTAGCTGTGATGCCACGGCATTCTACCCAGAGCAACACCTTGAGGCTCTGTTTCCAAACAAACAAACCAAAAAAACCCTAACACTTAGCTATCTCCAAGCTTAAATGAGTTGATAATAAGTTCTGTGCCTAACCCTGTGCCTGGCATTGGCTTTGACTTCACTTTGTCCTTGGTCCTGACCCCATTTTTCCCACTCTCGGTTTACAGAATAGTATCTCTGAGCTATTGCTTACTTAACTAAGAAAGAGAATTATCATATCAGCCCCCATAGGGTTGCTCTTATGTTGAATGCAGTCATTCATTAAAACACAATCCAGATATATGTGTCATACTAAATATTTGCTATTATTATACCCATTGTCTTTTTCCTAATGGACCTTTCTAGTAAAGTCCTGTTATAATACACATATTTATGCTGCAGAATTTGCTCATACCTTTCGTTTTGTGTTGACTTGTTGGATTAAGTTGTGAAATTAAGTTTTATTCCAGCTTTTCTGAAAATATTTCTCTTAAATCCTGCTAAATATTTAATGGAAAAGGATTATTTTATAACGTCTGTTTGAATAATATTGAAAACGAAATTTATTCACTTGCATGATTTCATAGAGCCTTTGTTGATGGCAGTACTCAGACAAGCAGTGTTTGCTGGATGTGACTGTGAGGGGGCACATTGCTCCAGTTTAGTGTTCTGGGGAGCATATTGTAGGAAACTTTGCTTTGCATATTCTGTGCAGACCTAACGTCTGTTTAGGTTATGCTTTAAGATGAGGAAATACAGTGTCATCTTTCTTTTTAAATAATGTCCTTATAATCGAAGATTTTTGAGCTTTTAGGGGGGTGGAGTGGGATATGTTGCTATAAGAAAACTTGGTAAAGGAAATTTAAGTTTGTTTCCTTCCTTCCTTCCTTCCTTCCTTCCTCAGAGCCTCAAGCTATCCCCTTGGATAGAGTGCTGTGGCATCACAGCTCACAGCAACCTCCAACTCCTGGGCTCAAGCGAGTCTCCTGCCTTAGCCTCCCAAGTACCTGGGACTACAGGCGCCCGCCACAACGCCTGGCTATTTTTTGGTTGCAGCCGTCATTGTTTTTTGGCGGGCCCGGGTTGGATTTGAACCCGCCACCTTAAGTGTATGTGGCTGGCGCCTTAGCCACTTGAGCCACAGGCGCCGAGCCAAGTTTATTTCTTATGCTCAAATTGTATAGCACGATTATTCTTATTTGTAACAATAATTTTAGTAAAATTAAATGATATTTCTTCAATACTGAGAACATCTGTAAACTAGAAACTATACTGACTCTAATTTTTCTTTGAATTAGAAATCATTCCTGGATTTCCTAGATCTTGATTGTCCGTATACTAACACCATAAAGTTTATTTATTTATACTATAGTTTAGTCTCAGAATAGTGTGAAAATATTTGAATATGTATTCTCGTGGACTTTTTCTTCATCCTGGTGTTTTGTGTTTTTTCCCCTCTTGCCTCATGCCAGTGAGTTCCTTCGGGGTTACTCCTGCAGTAGGTGGACTATCTTCTGGGACAGTTGGGGAAGCCTCGACAGCCCTGAGTTCAGCAGCCCAGGTAGCTTTGCAGTCTCTCTCTCATGCAATGGCTTCAGCCGAGCAACAGCTACAGGTGCTGCAAGAGAAACAGCAGCAGCTTTTGAAGCTTCAGCAACAGGTTGGAGACTATTTGGCTCTTTGTTCATGCTGTCTCTAAACTTCAAAAGCTGAAAAAATACTGTAAAATGACCATTAATTTCATAAAGGAAAGTAGTTTGACCGATCTGAGCTAATCATTTTCAACAAAAATTGAGGTAAAGTCTTTGTGATATATTTAAATGTGTTAAAATTCTGTGAATGCATTTTATTTGCTGAGTTTTTAATCAACTGACAACTTTTTAATGCAAAATCTATCCTTTAATGTTTAAACACTCTTGATTAGACATTGCAGTTACTATTGCTATTTCCTATGGAGTATAGAATGCAAAAAAAGTTTTAAAAACCACTTAAATTAATATGACTTAAAATTTAGAAGCAATGAGAGGTGTTTTATAGATTTCATTATGGTGAAGCCTGTGGCAATTCCTGGTGACAGATTGTATCAGGTTAGTCAACATGATGATCTGCCTTCTGACAATATTTTGTTTTGAGCAGAACTTTGTTTTCTCATTTACATTTAATTATTCTACTTTCTTTTCACCTTTGCTTTGAAAAAGTCTTAGTTCCAAGAACACAAGAAATTTTATATTAAATGCTTATGAATTATATATAGCAAAGCAGTGTTCCATTTCTATAGAGTCCAGTTTTGATTTAGCTTCATTTTTATTTAATGAGGATCTAGTTATTTTTGTTTATTTTTGTAATATATACCCATGTAGTATTTTCCACGGCTCAGATAGACAGGATTCGTCTATATTTGTTGCTTTTACTTCTTTTACAGAAAGCCAAGCTGGAAGCCAAGTTACATCAGACAACAGCTGCAGCAGCTGCGGCAGCATCAGCAGTAGGTCCTGTTCACAACTCTGTGCCTTCCAACCCAGTGGCTGCCCCTGGATTCTTCATTCACCCATCTGATGTTATTCCACCCACTCCAAAAACAACACCTCTTTTTATGACTCCACCACTCACTCCGCCCAATGAAGCCGTTTCCGTTGTGATCAATGCTGAGCTTGCACAGCTTTTCCCAGGCTCAGTCATCGATCCCCCTGCAGTCAGTCTTGCTGCACACAACAAAAATTCCAACAAGTCCAGAATGGTAAATTATGTTTTAAATCGGTCTTGGCTTTGACATTTAAAATATTTTGAAAAATACTGTAACTTTAAAGGCAAAATGTTATTATACCAACTTGAAATATTATTTTATTTTATAGAATATTACAGAATATACTTAGGAAAATAGACTTATCAATTTGACATTATGGTTAATAGTTTTTATAGAGCAAGAATAATATCAATATAGATTTTATATTTTTTTCTTTTCTAGAATCCACTTGGTTCTGGTCTAGCCCTTGCAATTTCGCATGCTTCACATTTTCTTCAACCTCCCCCTCACCAGTCCATTATTATAGAGCGAATGCATTCAGGTAATCTTTGACTTTCTTAAGTTACTTTTGTTTCCTAGTCTGCTGTCCTTTTAAGATTAATTATTCTTCAGTTTGATCCTTCTTTGCAAATAAATCTCATTTGCTCTTTGGTAAGTATATTTTACTAAGAATAAGCACTAAAGTTCAAGCTGTGTGTGCTCCCCACGTTGAGGGAACAGTGGTGCTGTGTAGCGCATTTCATCTGTGTGCGAATATCTGCATTCGTTGTAATTGCTGAAATGACTATTACAATAGAAATTATACTAGAGGAAGTATTCCTAAAACTAGCATTTTTATACTGAGAATAGCAGGGAGAGCTACTGTTTATTATAATGACTAAGATTAATAGCACTTCCTGGTCCCTTAATAGTTTAAATCTTACCTAAGTTTGTCTCATGCTTCTATGCTAGAGAACTGAGATTGGGGTAGGTAAGTTCTTTGAATTAGCGCATGTTTAAAATACTGTTGGCAACCTTTCCCTTATATTTCTAATGAGGTTCTGTGCTTGAGCTGTGGGAGAAATCAAAAACAATCTCTAGGGCAATAACATGGATGTAGTGTGCATAGTAGGACTTTCCATTATGTGAACAATTAAACCACATGTGCTTTATTGCAGTGGGGGATTTCCTTTGGGAAAAGGGAGCTTGAAAGATAAAATATGTAGAAATCTTTCTTTTTTCTGTCCAAATAATCATTCATTGGCAACAACATTAGTGTTTGTAATGTTTAGAGTGAAAATTTGTTATTCTGCAGTCTTCTGGGATATGAGCAGTTATTTACATTGCAGTTTGGATTTTTATCCATGGAAATGACTGCGCCACATAAACCTCTTGAGAACTATGTTGCTTGCTATTTAATAAATTTTCTCTTTAGGAAAACATTGATAGTTGCTTTCTTCTTTTTTTTTTTTTTAAACTGGTTCTTTACATAATTGCACTATTCCTAGAAGTTTAATTCAGTAGTCATTTGCCTTCATTGTAAAATGTTGCTGGTAAGTTACTAGATGGTCCTCACCGTGTAGTGAAGAAGAAACAGAAATGTATTAATGATCTTTTTTATATTTTACTAGTTGTAACTTATCCTTATAATGTCTGTGAGATGAGAGAGGTGAAACTACTTTATCTATTTCATCTGCTATTGAGCTAAAGAGCCAGTTGTGTTTCCATAGTGATGGGAAAACATTGTTTGAGACTAAGTTGTCTGTTGACACTGGGGACCTTCCAAGGCATTTTTCAGTGGTAGTTTTTTTTTACTACATAGGATTTCGATTACTCTTTTACTTTGCATCTTAATCCCATAATGCAACTCCATAAGTAGTTGGAAGGCGTAAGAAAAGTAAAGTCAAATAATAAGTCTCACTTTGTTGCCCTTGGTAGAGTGCTGTGGCATCACAACTCACGGCAACCTCCAACTCCTGGGCTAAGGTAATTCTCTTGCCTCAGCATCCCGAGTAGCTGGGAGTACAGGCACCCGCCACAACGCCTGCCTATTTTTTTTCTTGTACTTTGGCCAGGGTTGGGTTTGAACCTTTCACCCTCAGTATATGGGGCCAGGGCCCTACTCAATGAACCACAGGCGCTACCCAGAGTTTGATATTTTGTATGCATCTTGTTGTGTAATTTAAAAAATGAAAGAAGGTCAAATTTGCACTTCACAGAATTAAATTCTATACCACTTTTGCTGAATTAATCTTTTAAAATCTGATGTTTGTTTGTTTGCTTAAGATTCTCCTTACGTTGCTCTGGAGAGTGCCATGGCATCGTCATAGCTCACAGCAACCTCAAACTCCTGGGCTCAAGCAATCCTTTTGCCTCAGCTTCCCAAGTATTTGGGGACTATAAGCGCCTGCCACAACACTGGCTAGTTTTTCTCTTTTTAGTAGGGATGGGGTCTCACTCTTGCTCAGGCTGGTCTCGAACTCCTGAACTCAGGTGATCCACTTGCCTTGGTCTCCCAGAGTGCTAGGATTACAGGCGTGAGGCACTATGCCTGGCCAATTCTGATGTTTTAAAGAACTTAATGGGTACAGTTAGTTGATTGCTTTCATTGTAACAGTCTTCCTCTCTCTCTCCTTTTAAAAAAGAGTTGGGGGTTTTCTGTGTTGCTTAACTGGCTTTTCACAGGTGTGATCATAATGCAGCCTTGAACTCTAGTGCTGACCTGATCCTCCTGCCTTGGCCTTTAGAGTATCTGGGACTTGTATCACCTCACCTAGCTACTCTTGCTAGTTTTGACTAAGTCATGGAGTTCAACACTAACATAGACTGGTCTGCAGATATAGAAAAGACAAAAGATAAGTACAGAAAAGAAGACAAAGCTATCATAGTTTGGGGTTTCAGAAAATTTTTTAATGAGAATTTTTTAATGTGAATTTTTAATTTAAAATTTTTTTAATATCAACACAAAGCCATTTTTACTTATTGACTTTTCCTCTCATGTGATTGTAATTTAGTGAGTTGATTTCACTTTTTAAGATGAGTGTTCCACATTGTTTTTGAGTGTACTGTTTGGTTAATTGGTAATTATATATATGTATATATATATATAATATGTATATACATATATATCTTTTTTTTTTTTTTTAATCAACCGTTTCTCTTTCATAGGGGCAAGGAGATTTGTGACCTTGGATTTTGGCAGACCTATATTGTTGACAGATGTTTTAATTCCTACTTGTGGAGATTTGGCCTCCTTATCAATTGACATTTGGACATTAGGAGAAGAAGTGGATGGAAGGCGACTGGTAGTGGCAACTGATATAAGCACCCATTCATTAATTCTCCATGACTTAATACCACCACCTGTGTGCAGGTTCATGAAGGTAGAGAACTTCAAGAAAGTACATTGATAGGTTTTCCATGTTTCTGACAAGTTACAAAAAATATTCCAAATATGATTAAAAAGTATAGCTATCTTTTAGAATACATTGTTCAGATTTTCATTGTAGCAGATGTGTGCATATATTGATGAATTTTCATTTCAGATCACTGTCATTGGACGTTATGGAAGTACAAATGCCAGAGCTAAAATCCCGTTAGGATTTTACTATGGTCATACCTATATCTTGCCTTGGGAAAGTGAACTGAAGTTAATGCATGATCCTCTAAGGGGAGAGGGAGAATCTGCAAACCAGCCGGAAATTGACCAGCATTTAGCAATGATGGTTGCTCTGCAGGAGGATATACAGTGCAGGTTAGTAGAAAATTACAAATTTTAATCTTACTGAAACTGTATCTCATATATATGTCTTGCTTATATTTCTGTTAAGAAAATGTCATTTTGGCTTGGCGCCTGTCGATCAGCGGCTAGGGTGCCAGCCACATAACCCGGAGCTGGTGGGTTCGAATCCAGCCCGGGCCTGCCAAACAACAACGACAACTACAACTAAAAAAAAAATAGCCAGGTGCTGTGGCAGGTGCCTGTAGTCCCAGCTACTTGGGAGGCTGAGGCTAGAGAATTGCTTAATAAGCCCAAGAGTTTGAATTGCTTAAGCCCCAGAGTTTGAGATCGGTACTATGGCACTGTACCAAGGGTGACATACTGAGACTCTATCTCAAAAAAAGAAAAGAAAATGTCATTTTGTAGGTATACAGTAAAGAGCAAAAGGAAGTAGGACAGTAGCTCATTATAATAATAGTGTATGACAATATTGATTAAATAAATGGCTACACTTATTAGTGCTATACTTACCAATTGAGTAATTCCTTTAAAATGATTGTGTGTTAATGTGTTTTAGAGATTAAGTTTTTAGTATTCGTACATGGATATCAAGAGAACATTGCATGAAATGTTTTATTTATTTTTTACTTGTAGATATAATTTGGCTTGTCATCGTCTGGAAACTCTTTTGCAAAGTATTGATCTTCCTCCTCTCAACAGTGCTAACAATGCACAGTACTTTTTACGAAAACCAGACAAGGCCGTGGAGGAAGATAGTCGAGTTTTTTCTGCTTATCAAGATTGTATTCAGTTACAGCTTCAGCTGAATTTGGCTCATAATGCAGTGCAGAGGCTCAAAGTAGCTCTAGGTGCAAGTCGGAAGACGCTGAGTGAAAGCTCAGATCCAGACGATTTAATTCAGACGTCTTCCACAGAGCAGTTACGTACTATCATCAGATATTTATTGGACACTTTGCTCAGCCTTCTTCACTCTTCTAATGGTTTGTATTTGGCTCATCTACTTTAAAGGCTGGGACTATATTTGATTTTTTTTTTTTTTAACATGTTTTAGGTTCCATGTTGATATTGTCTGGGTATGGTTAATTTTGCTATACTTTCTAATGTGAATATTTATGAAATGTCTGTTTATGGTCACCTAGTTTTCCAGTTATTTTTACTTTCTTAAATGAATTTTTGATGGGTTTCTTATTGGTCTGTACATCATTGCACTAATAGCAAAGTAGTAAGTATTGCTTAAAGTTCATCAGGGAAACCTTCATAATTGCTCATCTAATAGAGAACTGTCACTTTCTAGGCTGGAGCTATTTTTGTTCATTATGTACGTGTGCACACGTGTTCCTTCTCTCTCTCTAACTCACAGCCTTTGGACATACCCATCTCCATTGACAAGAAATATAATTGACTTAAGTGCTAGCTCTTCTCCTCCTCAAGCATTTAAAAATTAAATTTCTACATACGAGGAGTAAATAAATAGCATATACTATTATTTGTCCACTGATGGCTGGTAAAGAAGAAAGCATATTTAAGCATGCTGATTTTGATATTATATCATACAGTTAAAATAGGATGGATATTTTACTGTTTTCTTTCTTATAATAGGACACTCTGTTCCTGCAGTTTTGCAGAGCACATTTCACGCCCAGGCCTGTGAAGAGCTCTTTAAGCACTTGTGCATCAGTGGAACCCCAAAGATACGATTACATACTGGTCTTCTGCTTGTTCAACTGTGTGGTGGTGAAAGATGGTGGGGTCAGTTTCTCTCTAATGTTCTTCAGGAATTGTACAATTCAGAGCAGCTTCTCATCTTTCCACAGGACAGGTAGGTCAGAAAATATTGGAAATGTTTATTAGTGATTTGTACTTGTCCCAGTCATTTGGAATCTCATTTATGTGGACACTAAGTGTGGGAGGAATGGAGCAGTTTTTCTCCTTAGCATTTTGGGAATGTCCATCGAAGGGCACCAAGATCATTCATGATGTAACTAGTCCACAATCTGGTTATCTAACGGAACCTGTGCTGTTTAGAGATCTGTGTGTATAAATATTTCCTATCAGATTATGTTACTTTTTCGAGACTAAGTTCTTTTCATTATGCCTGCTCTCTTGTTGATAACATTAGAAAATATAACCGATACTTAGAGCTAACATTTAACATAATGCATCCAGATATAAATCTTGCTTACTCAAACTGAAATGCGATGATGTTTATAAAAACAAAAAAATTTCGTCATTAGTTTGTTAAATTTTAATGTAAATTATTTGGAAAATTACAAACACTTAAATTTGGTTCTTACTGCATATTTTCTTGATATGTATTTTTTAGGGTCTTCATGTTACTTTCCTGCATTGGTCAAAGATCACTTAGTAACAGTGGAGTATTAGAAAGTTTACTTAACCTCTTGGATAACTTATTGTCCCCTCTTCAGCCACAGTTACCCATGCATAGGAGGACAGAAGGTATTTATAAAGCAGTTTTTTTTCTAAGATTCCTATAAATTTTGTTTTTATAACATTTTTTTCTGGAGTACTTAATTTTAATTTTTAAAATTTTGTTAACATATGTTAATATATTTATGAGCAACCTTCATGTGATACTGTTACTACTTTTTAAATCTAATGCTTTTCGTTATTTGAACTTAGTGTGTTTTTCCTATACTATCGATTTCCTATACTACCTAAACTACATGACGATTTTCTTCCCTTCTTCCTAGTTAACAAAGCTTTTTATAAAGTATTTGAGATTGATAAATCCTATTTGTAAACACAGCCTTTGACGTCCATAAAATTTGGAATTATATGTACGCTGTCAGGATCTCAGGGTTTTAAAAAGTTCCCTTGAGATGTTTTATAGCTGAATAAGTTGTTTATTTTACATATTATGTTTTTAAAATTAGACTCTCTTACATAGGTTGAGCTTCAAGATGCAGTTGCTTTTCTGGATAATGAGTTTCACTTGAGCAATAAAATTGTTAACAGCAATACAACTTTAGAACATAGTTTAATACTTTATGAATTGCAAGTTTTGAGAGTTATAGCTTATTTCACTCACCTATGAGTCTAAGAACCGTACCATATACCTTTCTAGTTTATATACTTTTATAGTTTATTTTTGGATTCAGCCTACACTTAATATGATTTTGTACCACAAAGCATTTGTCCTTCATTAGATTTGATGTTCTACCAAATTTGTGGCTATTTAGGTACTAATATATGGCTCATTATATATAAATATTAGTATTAGTAATGACACATCTTTTGGATTTATCAAACATTTTCTCTTGATAACTTGTCAGATATTGTCAGGACTCTCAAATGACCTAGAGTTTTTCTTTTCCTCTTGTCTCTGTATAGGAGTACTGGACATCCCCATGATCAGTTGGGTTGTTATGCTGGTGTCCAGGTTGCTGGATTATGTGGCAACTGTTGAAGATGAAGCAGCAGCTGCAAAGAAACCTTTGAATGGTAAAGACAGGGAGAGGTTTCTGACAGGTATCAGAAGTTTATAATAATATGTTGGTGGGGATTTTGAGTGACTCCGCGGTTGTTCCTGAACTGGCTATTGGCCTGGAGATACCACTTGTATGTAATTTATGGAAAATATGAATTAACTTTACTAAGAATCTATTTAAAGATAGAATTTATACTTGATGGACTTTTTAGGCAAGCTGAATTGTTTAGACATGACATTTAGTTTCTAAATACAACTGTGTATTTTACAATATTTTCATCTGGATACTCATTGAATAAACATTTGAAAATAACATGCATATAAGTGAGTTGTAAAAGGGAAATTGGTGAAGAGTTGCTGTACTATTTTTCTTACTGTGATAAGTCACTTGATTTACCATTATCAAGTTCTAGTAATTAACTACAAACAGACTTTATATTTAAATGCAGAAATTCCCAGATTTTTTGAATTGTACTTTTTCTTCATGAGCTTGAGGACAGAAAAATTAAGAAATTAAAGAATGTTAAACTACATGACGACGATTTTCTTCCCCTCTTCCTAGTTAACAAAGCTTTTTATAAAGTATTTGAGATAGATAAATCCAATTTGTAAACACAGCCTTTGAGGTTCATAAAATTTGGAATTATATACGCTGTCAGGATCTCAGGGTTTTAAAAGTTCCCTTGGGATGTTTTATAGCTGAATAAGTTGTTTATTTTACATATTCTGTTTTTAAAGATGCTGCAGAATACATGAGTACAGAGTTTGCTTTTATAGATTTTTAGAGGAATGTTATCTGTGGTTAGTTTACTTTAGTTATGGGATATAGATGTAAGATATACAACTAAAATAAATAAAACTACAATGTAAATGTGGAATATAACAGGACTGGAAGTATTAGTTTTTATTTATATTGCTTAGGTCCTATGAAAATATTGGTGGAACATTGAGTTTGAAGAACTTTAGCGAAGAATTGAGAAATGGGTAGTAGAGAAGAGGAAAAGATTTTTTTTACGTTAAGGAAAAGATATTCTAGGTTTGGAGGTAAATAAAGCATGGCATTCAGCTTAAATTGATCAAAAGAATGGCCCAAAAGAATCTGCACATGTTCAAAAAAGTGAGAGTAAATATCGCTGTACAGACTGATTTCTGAACTATTCAACCTTATTTTGACAGTGAATAGTCAAATTATTGAGTACTTATTTTTGGTCCCTGCATGAAAGTATTTGTTGTTAAACCTGAGTGACATCATCAAAGTCGTGTTTAAGATTCATTCAAACAATTGTGGAAGAAGATGATCGTTATCCTAAAGGAAAGACTGGAGACAGAACGCATCTTAAAATTATTTGGGGTCTAGTTTAGAGCAGTGACAGTTATCTAACCTTTCTAGAATCAGATCTTATAGCAGTTTTTTTTACAATGGTTCCCTAAATTTTCTTGAAAATGGCTATAATGTGTCACGATTGACACAATTATAATTTCGTTTGTGTTTTCTGGATATCAAAGGTACTGTAAAGTCATATTTAATGAAATTATTAATAAACTTTTCCTTCCCTTATAGGTAATCAGTGGAGTTTTATTAACAATAATCTACATACTCAGAGTTTAAATAGATCTTCCAAAGGTAGCAGTAGCCTTGATAGATTATATTCCAGAAAAATCAGAAAGCAGCTTGTTCATCATAAGCAGGTAATTATCACTATATTTTGAACTTACTATTTCAACTGTTCTGTTTGATATCACTGTTTTGGAGGTTGTGTGAAGTAGGTGTACCATGAGATCCTTATGGCATACAGTGAGCTACTAAGCTAAGGGAAATAGTTAACACTTTGGAGACTGAATTTCTTTAACTGTAAAATGGCAAAAGGTACTTTACAGAGTTTCGGTGATTTTCTTTAAATGGTTTGCTTTTTTCCCACTCTTTTACTGCTACTGTAAATGAGGTCTAGCAAAAGCCTGCCTGTCTTTGTTCGTTAATCCAATTTATTTTCCATGCCTTGTAGAGCAGTGATTTTTCAACCGGTGTGTGAGAGGATCTTAGGTATGGAAACAGTCTCACTTGGTCACCCTTTGTAGAGTGCTGTGGCATCATAGTTCATAGCAACCTCCAACTCTTGGGTTCAAGTTATTCTCTTGCCTCAGCCTCCCATGTAGTTAGGACTACAGGCACCTGCCACAGAGCCTGGCAATTTTTAGAGATGGGGTCTCGCTCTTGCTCAGGTCTCAAACTCGTGAGCTCAGACAGTCCACCTGCCTCAGCCTCCCAAGTGCTGGGATTACAGGCCTGAGCCACTACCTGCCCTCCAAATATGGAACGCTTCATAAATTTGCATGTCACTTTTGCAATTTTAGTATATGTGCTGCCAAGGCAAGCACAATGCCACAGAAAATTTTAAAGGTTATTAGTTAAATTATTTTTGAAATAACTTTAAAACACAGTTAAGTATATTCTTTTTTTTTTTACTCTTTTTATGATCAACACAAACATGTGCAAGTCTAACCATAGGATCAAGTGTGCCGTGAGATAAAAAAAAGGTTGAAAAACACTACTCTAGAGAGCTGTTTTTAGATACAAACCTGGTGGTACTGTTTCTTCCTGTAATTCTTAGGAAATTGTGCTGGATATCCTCTTTTATATCCGACTTCTTTTGTTTAAATGATGTTTTTGAGATTTATCCATGTTGAGTATATCAGTAGTTTGTTCTTTATTTTATTTTTAACCACCAATCTGTTCTTTGAATGTTTCAAAATCTGTTTATCCAATTTTGATGAACCCCTCAGTATTTATTTGACTTACTTTTTCTATTGTTTTTTTAAAAATATAAACAAATACTCACATTTACATCCCTCTTTCTATTGCACACCTGTACATTCTCTCTTAATCTTTCTCTCCTTCACAGAATGTCATGTAGTAGAACGTGGTTTTATTGCAGGATAATTGAATCTTTGTGGTTTCTTTCTTTCTTTCTTTCTTTTTTTTTTTGAGACAGAGTCTCACTGTGTCGCTTTCAGTAGATTGCTGTGGCGTCACAACTCACAGCAATCTCAAACTTTTGGGCTTAAGCGATTCTCTTGCCTCAGTCTCCCGAGTAGCTGGGACTACAGGTGCCTGCCACAACACCCGGCTACTTTTTGTTGCAGTTGTCATTGTTCAGCTGGCCTGGACTGGGTTCAAACCCTCCAGCCTCAGTGCATGTGGTCGGCGCCATAACCACCGTGCTATGGGCCCCGAGCCAGAATCCTTATGATTTCTATGAATGGGCTACATTACTTACATGATCTCTCCTGAATGTACTCATAAAACTTATTGCTGTCTGAGGAGTATGAGGAACTAAGTTTATGGCTGATGTCAGAGTCACACAAGCTAGTACTTTAGTATAGTGCTTTTTTTGTTTTTGAGACAGAGTCTCACTCGTGGCCCTTGATAAAGTACTGTAGAGTCATCATAGCTCACAGCAACCTCAAACTCTTAGGCTCAGGTGATCCTCTTGCCTCAGCCTCCTGAGTAGCTTGGACTACAGGTGCCCACCACAGTGTGTGGCTAGTTCTTCTGGTTTTAGTAGAGATGGGTCTGGCTCTTGGCTCAGGCTGGTCTTGAATGTCTGAGCTCAAGTGATCTTCCCACCTTGGCCTTCCAGTGTGCTTGGATTATAGGTGTGAGTTACCACCCAACTTCATTTTCACTGAGATATTTCCATATGTGCACTTAAGTATTGATAATACAGAGTTGTTTGTTTTTAACTTCTGAAGTTTTCAACTAAGAGCTAACTTGATCTTTTGCAGGAAAAATTGTATGAAGGTTCTTCTTAAACTTGTTTTTTTTTTTTTTTTTTTTGAGACTCTTAACCAATTTTAGGTAGTGCCAATTTGTACCTTTTCACATCTGGCCAAAATTTATTAAGCCTTTAATGTTTATCCTTGGTATACTTAATTTAGGATATGAAGATGGAAAACAACATCTACCATGTAAAAAGGAGATATTTCTTTGTAAAATATTACTGTTTGAGTCTTTCTTATGAAGGGCTGTCTGTTGGGATAGTTGGCAAAACGTTCAAGGGGATCTGTGGAGTACTTGGTCCGGCATCAGTGTTCCTTTGATCCTGATGGCTGTACTCTGATTTATAGAACATTGTTGTTTCTAGGAATTATGCACCAAACTATACAGGGTGATTGGATGCCAACTTGTTAAATAGTTTAGAGAAAATGAACGTTACTTGTGCAAGAAATAAATGTAGTTGTTTGGAAATAAATTGAAACTTTAATCTTGCTTTTAATTATTGGACATATTAATGGTAGAACTTACGAAACTTATTTTCTGAAAATAGTGATATTTACTTATTGACTTCTCAGTGGATTTTTTTTATTATATGTGCATACTAATTTTAATTTAGGATGCATTTTCTTTATGAAGCTAACAGCCAAGTGGTTTATTCTTTATAACATAGTTAATATTTTTTCTCTTGATATGAAAAATATGTGCCAATAGTAGAAATTTAGGAAATGGTCTTTGAAAAGCCAGATTTATTAAGCTTTCAGCTAAAATATCATTCATTTGTAACTTTGGTTATACATCTATAGTAAAATACTTTTTTAAAAAAGTTTTTAAAGATTTATTTGAGTATAAAATTCTGTTTAAAGAAATTTTTTGTGTACATGGGGAAGTCATTCAATAGTATTTGAAGATTTTAAGGTCTTTTTGGGCAGAGAATTTTTTCTCCACTTTTGTTTGTTGGTTTGTTGTTATGTATTATTGATTGCTAGGGTTTAGGGATGAAAGATGGGGTTGGAGGGCTGTGGATGTAGTTAGAAAAGGGCACCATAAGGGCATCTGGTGAAGGAACTTTCAACATCAAATGTTGTAGTGGATATTTGAGCTGACGTGTAGAAGTGTATACAACTAAACACACAGACACACAAATAAGTGCACGTAACCTGGAAAAATTTGAGTAAGATTGGTGAATTGAATCAATGTCAATATTTTGTTGTGATATTATGATTTAATAGTTTTGCCAAATGTCATCATTGGGGAAAATTGTTATTTTTTAATTTATTCCAATGTGGCTTAATTATTTCTTGAGCCGTATATGAATCTACAGGGATCTCAAAAAATTTCATTATGAACACAGACACACTAAAAATACGGATTACTCCTGAGGGAAATTCCCATATAAACAAAGTTTTGAAATATTAAGCAATAAAAATATTAAGCAAAAAAAAAAATTTACTTAAAAATAAACAATTCTTTTTCTCTATTTTAGTGGCTTATACGCATAGAAGAAAGCTGTCTAATTATTACTTTTCTTCTGTGGGTCCTTGATGATAAGATGGATTTTGAAGCCAGTATTTAAAAATGATTTATTTTATAAAAAATCAGCACAGTTACAGTTGTTTTACTGAATCGTTCAAGGATTTGCTGGTTCCTTTAATGCATGAATTCTGTGAGGAGTAATGATTTACTTTTTCTTTTGATTTTTAACATTGTTATTTTACATTTTAAGTTGGCTGTTTGTTTTTTAAAGCAACTTAACCTATTAAAAGCAAAACAGAAGGCTTTGGTGGAACAGATGGAAAAAGAAAAAATACAAAGTAACAAAGGATCATCATATAAACTCCTGGTGGAGCAAGCAAAACTAAAGCAGGCTACTTCAAAGGTACAATCTGGATTCTCTCGGAAAGGCTGCTTTCCATGTAGTATTTTAAATTATTCACGCAATTAAATATCTTTGATAACAATCAGGAAAACTGGGCGGTGCCTGTGGCTCATTGGATAGGGCGCTGGCCCCATATACCGAGGGTGGCGGGGTCGAACCCGCCCCAGCCAAACTGCAACAAAAAAATAGCTGGGCATTGTGGTGGGCGCCTGTAGTCCCAGCTGCTCAAGAGGCTGAGGCAAGAGAATCGCCAGAGCCCAGGAGTTGGAGGTTGCTGTGAACTGTGAAGCCATTATCTACTGAGGGCAATAAAGTGAGACTCTTGTCTCTTTACAAAAAAAAATTAGGAAACTGAAATATGTGCTCTTCTGTTTATTAAGACAAAAATCAATCTACTTTGGGGTGGTGCCTGTGGCTCAAAGCAGTAAGGCACTGGCCCCATATGCCGGAGGTGGCGGGTTCAAACCCAGTCCTGGCCAAAAACTGCAAAAAAAAAAAAATCAATCTACTTTGTACTTTTTTTCAGTATGGTAGCTTTTAACTCAAGGAAATATATAAAAAATGTGGACTTTGAAGTATTATTCTAGTGCCATTATCTTCAAAGTGATTGATCCCAGTAAATTGAAGATTAAAGACAATGGAATATACAATTTTGCTAATGTGGCATTGGCAGTGCTGTTTATTATTTTAATATTATAACACAAAACTATACAGATTAGTGGTAAATAGCATTGTGTCAGCCATGAAAATAAGATTAATATGTAAAGTGAAAATTCTGGTATTCCCTTTTCCCTTAATTTTGTTATTGGAAAATTTTGGGGACTGAGTTTCAAAGTAAAACTTTTTTTGAATCCAGTGGTGCTCAAAAGACCGAAATACAGTCTATCTTTTCTTTTCTTTTTTTTTTTTTTGTCCCAGGCTGTAGGGCAGTGGTGTCCTCATATAGCTCCATGCAACCTCAAACTCCTGGGCTCAAGTGATTCTTCTGCCTCAGGCTCCTGAATAGTTAGATCTACAGGTGCACACTGCCATGCCCAGCTAATTTTTATGATTTTTTTTGTAGAGACAGAGTTTCTTGCTCTGTCTGGTCTCGAACTCCTGAGCTGAATTAAATCCTCCTACCTTGGCCTCTCACAGTCCTAAGATTATGGGCATAAGCTGTGATGCCCAGCTATACCATGCCCTTCTGAAGTGAAAATGAAGTTCAAGGCATTTGTAAATAAACTTTTAAAAAACTTGATGTGTATATTTTTAATTTGGGAGAGTAACTTTTATAGGTAGCAACCAAGTTTGTGTATTATTTCTATAAATATGAAATTATGTTTATTCTACTAGATTTTGAAATAACTTGAATTAATACTTTAAGGTTTTCCTGTGAATTAAGTTTAGGATGTTATGGTAATATTTAAGTTGTGTGATTTAAGCTAACAATTTCAGAAGTTTCCTATGATGAAAATCCATTGAAATTTGGTTTCTGAAATTCTGTTGCATATCTTATATCCTACATCTAAATGAGAGTTAAGGTATATTGGTCAGGATAGCTTTTAATAATCTTACTTTTCAAATCTCATTTTATAAAAAAAATTGTTCCTTAGAAGTTATATATTTTCATTACATAAATAAAATTTTGAATATTGATTTAAATACTGTAACTCTCTGCATGCAGCACTTTAAGGATTTAATTCGATTACGTCGGACAGCAGAATGGTCCCGTTCGAATTTAGATACAGAAGTGACGACAACAAAAGAAAGTCCAGAGATAGAACCACTTCCATTCACTCTGGCCCATGAACGTTGTATCTCAGTTGTCCAGAAACTTATTTTGTTTCTTCTCTCCATGGATTTTACATGTCATGCAGATCTCTTATTATTTGTTTGTAAGGTAAGTAAACTGTTAGGCATTATTTATAAAAGTATAAGCTTACAGGGTTAGAAAAAAACTAGATGCAATTTGTAATTGATTTTTGATTAAGAGAAATAATAGTACCATATTTTGTTGTGTAAATTGTGCTCCCATATCTAAATGTGTATCCACATTTTTGGCCCAAACTCTTAAGAAAATGCTCCCTGAGAAAGTGGCTGGCTCTCAGCTGGGAGAAACACATATGGGGAGGGCTGATGCTCTCCTGGTTAAGTCTGCAGATTGTACCGCAGATGCCTGCTCTGTGAAGGCTGCCCCTTCCCCTTCTTCAGTGACCTCTTTCCTCCCTGCCACATCACGGCCCACGGCAAAGAAGGCCACACATGTGGCTGGTGGGGTGGGAACTTATGAGGCCTGCACTCAGCCCAGCAACTCCCAGGAGCCTGTGTGGAGTTGCTGGTCCCTTCTACATGGTCTGGCCTCGGCCCCCCTTGCTACCCTACTACCACCCCTTCTCCTAATCCTGGTGCTCAGTGGAGGCTGCTCCAGCCGGCTCCCGCTGGATCCTGGATCCTCCTGGACTGCTTTCCTGTGCACCCAGTGGGCCCAGGTGAGAGGATGCAGAGGCCTCATTCCCAAGCCATGCTACTCATGTATACATCATGCGTCCTTATTTTTTCCTGAAAATTCTGGGCAAAAGCCTAAGGCACAGTGGCTCACATCTGTAATTCTAGAACTCTTGGAGGCCAAGGGAGGTGGGTTGTCTGAGCAAGAGCAAGACCCTGTCTCTAAAACTAGCCTGGTGTTGTGGCTGGTGCCTGTAGTCCCAGTTACTTGGGACGCTGAGGCAAGAGAATCACCTGAGCCCAAGAGTTTGAGGTTGCTGTGAGCTATGACACCATGGCACTCAATCAAGGGTGACAAAGTGAGACTCTGTCTCTAAAAAAAAAAAAATTGGTCAAAAATGTGTGCATTATACACAGGAAAGTATGGTACTCTTGGACATCCTTTATTTGTAGTTAATTAGCTTTTTTATTATGTCTTGAAAGTCTGAAAATTTTTCGTTCATTCCAAAGAAAACTTGATTATAATGTTTTACTTTATATAAAATTTAAGAGTTTTACATGTAGGTAATGTGGATCTATCTCCAATCTGTACCATTCTTACATTATTTAAAATAGGAAATATGCGTATAAATGTCATGCTAAATTAATGAAGGACTTTCAGTGTCTTGGTTTCCTGCAGGGTATTCACCGTTTGTTGGAATTATTTTTAACTATTTCGCCTAGATTTCCAATCAGATTTTAATGTTCTATGAAATTACATTTTTTTGCATTCCCTCTCAAGTGATTACTTTGACACTAGAATCATGCCTTGATGATATTGGAAACTAACATTCCAATGCTAATGTGGTAGATTTGTTATGTTTTTTTAAAAAATAAGTTAATTGCTATTTAACTGTATGATTTTATAAAATGTATTACAGGTTCTTGCACGCATTGCGAATGCCACAAGGCCAACGATTCATCTGTGTGAGATTGTGAATGAACCCCAGCTGGAAAGACTGCTATTGCTTTTGGTTGGAACTGACTTCAACAGAGGAGATATATCATGGGGTGGTGCTTGGGCTCAGTATTCCTTGACTTGTATGCTGCAGGATATTTTAGCAGGTTTGTCGGGATTTATTATTTCATAGGGTATGTCAGATTAGCTGATCATTGCTATACTAAGGAATCTTTCTTTTTTTTTTTTTTTTGAGACAGAGTCTCACTATGTCGCCCTTGGTAGAGTGCTATGGTGTCATAGCTCACAGCAACCTCCAACTCTTGGGCTTAAGCAATTCTCTTGCCTCAGCCTCCCAAGTAGCTGGGACTATAGGCGCCTGCCACAATGCCCGGCTGTTTTTTGGTTGCAATTGTCATTGTTGTTTGGGAGGCCTGGGCTGGATTCAAACCCCCCAGCTCCGGTGTATGTGGCCGACGCCCTAGCTGCTTGAGCTGCAGGTGCTGAGCCATTATAAGGCTCTTTTGATAAATAAATGAGTCAGTATAATTACATTAACTGTGAATGATTGCATTAACTCAGTGTACATATGCATTTTGTGTTTTATACTATTTACTTGACTTTGGCATTTGAAGGTAATGTGGTGAGTCCTAGCATTCATTCCATGGGGACTCATTTGCCTCTGATTCTTTTATAATTGGTAGAGCAGGTATTTTGTCATTCTATAAATGGGTGGAAAAAATCTGGTTTAACGTGTTTCATTACTGTCTGTTTAAATTATTAAAGCAGTTAGGACTGTTTCCTTATGTATAGGAGAATTGTTGGCTCCGGTAGCCGCAGAAGCCATGGAGGAAGGAACAGGAGGTGATGATGTAGGAGCGACAGCTGGTGATTCTGATGACTCCCTTCAGCAGTCCTCAGTTCAGTTGCTGGAGACTATAGACGAGCCTATAACACAGGACATAACAAGTACGTTTTACAATTGCGTTTCAAGAGGTTTTCAGTTTTCCTATTAAAAACATGTTTAAAAACAATTTTAGATATTTAGAGGTGGTTTTTATATTTTTCTATTAGGTATTTGTCCTTGTAAACTATGTGATTTATTTTCCTGATAAATTTTGTCTTGGTTCTCTGAAGGGCATTTCTTTGTTAACAAAGTGGTAGCTATTTATTATGTCCTGATCATTTTGATGCAGTGTGATTTGGCTATATTAAAATACAAATATAAAATTTAAAGATATGCTATGGCGCAGATATCAAGCTGGGCTTTTGTTCTTTAGATACAGCCAGCATTTTTATGGAGTTTTTTGGTGCTTTGTTTGTTTTTAAAAATAGTATTTGTAAATCAGCATTTATAACCCTTTGTGATGTGGAAACTGATTTGGTTACCACCGTGTGCATGTTAGCTTCTGTAGTTATTTGCGACCATTTGTCATTTTGTCCTTCCCTCCCCGTCATCCCTTCTCTCCCCTGTGCTCCGTTCCCTCTCCTTTCCTCCCCTCTCCTCTCCTTCCTCTCTCCTCCTGTCTCCTTTTCTTCTCTCTTTTCCTTTCCATTTTTCTTCCCTTTTCCTTGACAGAATCTTGTTCCATTGCTTGGGCTAGAGTGCCACGGCTTCAGCCAAGGTCACAGCAACCTCAGACTCCTGCCTTAGACTCTTGTATTGTATTGAAGCAGTCCTCCTGCCTCAGACTCTTGAGTAGCTGGGATTAGAGATATGTACGACAATATTGGCTGATTTTTGTCTTTTTAGTAGAGACGAGTTCTCGCTCTTGCTCAGACTGATCTGAGCTCAAGCAGTCCACCCACCTTGGCTTCTTACAGTGGCTAGGATTTTGGGTGTAAGCCACCATGCCTGGCCCATTTGTCATTTCTTAATCTTACAGATGGTATTCTTTTTATTTGGCATAGACTTCCTGCTCTTATATGGATGATGAACTCCTCCTTTGGTATGGTTTACATAAAACATGCCTTCCTCGAAGAAGGTTTTTTTTTAAATCATTACCAGCAGAGTTGGGGACTGTACTGTCTGTACTGCCCTTGTACAGTTGACTGTCTCTGGTAGCATATCATGTTGTAATCAGTTTTATTATAGTACACTGCCACCTCTAATCTTCTTTTATTCGGGGGAGATTTGTTTCATTAATCTTTTTGCATATATACTCAAACCATACTGCTAGACTTTCTTTTTCTTTTATTTTTCTTTTTATTGTTTGGGATTCATTGAGGGTAGAAAGAATTAGGATTCACTATAATGGATTACATATTGGATATAATAGAATCAGATTTATTCTAGAAATGTTAATTTTTTTTTCTTAAACTACTACAGCAAGGTCTTGCAGTGGGGAAGAGAGAGATGGGGCTGGGCTCCCAGTAACTATCTTTAATAACAAAGTTTATGCAGCTTGATTCAATAAGAATTAATATGGTGGTCTTTTCCCTAGGAAAGTCAGTATCAATTGCATTGATACGTTTTTTAAATTATAAATAATACCTGTAGGTGTGCTCTTCACCCAGGAGTGCCCACTGTATCTATCCAGTAGGTGTGAATTTACCCATCTCTTCCTTTCCCCTGCCCCCAGCTTGATTTTCATCGAGATTTACTTCCATATGTGCACTTAAGTGTTGATCAGATAGTTTCAGTGTCGTGTTGAGCACATCTATTTGTTTTTCCATCTTTGGGATATTATGCTTAGAAGAATGGCTTCCGTTTCTCTCCAGGTTATCCAGAAAGATACTAGTTCACCATTTCTGTTTATGGCTGAGTAGTATTCCATAGTATGCACATCCCATATTTTACTGATCCGTTCATTTATTGGTAGTCATGTGGGTTGTTTCCATGTCTTTGCAATTGTGAATCGTGCTGCTATAAACAGTCGACTGCAGGTGTCCTCTTTATAAAATGACATTTCTCCCTTTGGGTATATACTCAGCAGTGGGGTGGCTGGATCAAATAGTAGGTCTCCTTAATGTTTTTGAGGTATCTCCATACAGTTTTCCTTAGAGATTGTACTGTTTTGTAATCCACCAGCAGTACATAAGAGCTTTACTTTTCTCCTCATTTTCTTCCTCCTCCTTTTCTTTTTTAGACAGAGTCTCTCTGTCACCCAGGATAGAGTACAGTGGTGTCCTTGTAACTCACAGCAGCCTCAGACTCTTTGGCTCATGTAGTTGTCCTGCCTGAGCCTCCTGGGTAGCTGGAATTGCAGCCACATGCCACCATGCCTACTCATTTTTAATGTTTATGGTAGAGATGGGGTCTCCAACTCCTGACCTCAAGCTGTCCTCCCACTTAGGCCTCCCAGAGTGCTAGGATTGCAGGTGTGACCCACTTTGCCTAGCCTGCATTGTTCATTATTGTGTGCACATCTGTCAGTGCTTAATTCTTAAGTGAGAAATTTACTTTTTCTCTAAAAAAAAAATAGGTATCTGTTACATGCAAGCAAAGTAATTTCAACATATCAGCTAAGTTTCATGTAATATATTCCACCAGTAAAATAACTTTTAATTATTTGAAGCTACACCTCCTCTCTCTTTGGAAAAAGATAAAGAAATTGACCTAGAACTACTCCAAGATCTAATGGAAGTTGACATTGATCCTTTAGATATTGATTTGGAAAAGGATCCTCTTGCAGCCAAAGTTTTTAAGGTATGATATAGTAGAATACTCTTTGCAGTTAAGAGCTTTCATCTTACACTTTTGGCCTAATAATTATTTAAAAGAGGAAATATATGTACATAAATATCACTTAATGCAACCTTTTATTCAGCATATTCAAAATGTATTAAGTTGCTGTAGGTTTTTGGTTTTTTTCTTGAGACAGAGCCCCAAGCTGTTGCCCTGGATAGAGTGCCATGGTGTCACAGCTCACAGCAACCTCAAACTCTTGGGCTTAAATGATTCTCTTGCCTCAGCCTCCAAAGTAGCTGGGACCACAGGCGCCCGCCACAACACCCAGCTATTTTTTGGTTGTAGTTGTCATTGTTTGGCAGGCCTGGGGCTGGATTCAAACCTGCCAGCTCTGTTGTATGTGGCTGGCCTTAGCTGCTTGAGCTAGAGGCGCCAAGCCTGCTGTAGGTATTACAGTAGTTTTTAATAAAATGCCAATGGAATAATATAAACTTAGATCTTTTTTCAGTAATGTAGCCACTAACAATTATCTTATAGCAATAGGAACCATTATTAAGTGTGTAGAAGTATAGTTATGAGTCAACAGCATTTTAGGCAGTCATTTAAACGCCATCCAAGCTGGGTTCATTGTAGCTTGTATTTCTATGTTAGCCTCCATTTCTTCTAAGGCACATACACCTGTAATAATACTTCATAGGTATATTGTTTTTTGGTGTGTAGGATATTTTATTAGGGATACTCATTGTATCAGTTTTTAAAGATATTTCTAGATTTTTGCCAGAAAATGAGGAGAATATTACTATATACATTCTTGTATATCATTAAAAGTACAAGTGAGTTTTAGAAATTTAAAGGGTGGGGAAGAATGTTTATTTTGTAGTCTTGTTTGACTTTAGAAAATGTGAATAATGTGTCACTCAGTGAAGAGACAAAAATAAACCACGTTTTTCCCATTCTTTTAAGCCAATAAGCAGTACATGGTATGATTATTGGGGTGCTGATTATGGCACCTACAATTACAACCCTTACATTGGAGGTCTGGGAATTCCTGTAGCAAAGCCACCAGCAAACACAGAGAAGAATGGATCACAGACTGTTAGTGTTTCAGTGTCTCAGGGTAAGTGGATATTTATTTTAAAGCATGTAGTATTCTTAATAAAAGTCCCAGGTTTACGTATACTCTATATCTTGAGAAATTGATACACTGTATTATACTTGTGTTACGGGTGCCATCCAGAGCTGTTCTTCTGTCAGTCAGAGAGGAGCTTCCACTTGTGGTGTGTGTGTGTGTGTTTCTATCTCCAAATAACATCTAGCAGAAGCTTTTCATAGGATGGGATTAGCAGTGATTTTAATTAATTCTTCTTTTTATTTATTTATTTTATTTTTGGGACAGAGTCTCACTCCGTCACTCTCAGTAGAGTGCCGTGGCGTCACAGCTCACTCCAACTCCTGGGCTTAGGCCATTTTCTTGCTTCAGCCTCTCCAGTAGCTGGGACTACAGGCACCCGCCACAGCGCCTGGTTATTCTTTTTGTTGTAGTTTGACCAGGGCTGGGTTTGAACCTGCCACCCTTGGTATATGGGGCCAGCACCCTACCATTGAGCCACAGTCTCTGCCCTATTTTAATTTCTTTAAAAATAAACTTTTATTTATAAATAGGAAAAAACACATTAAATATATATTTTTTTTTACTTCTCTAGTCATATAAAATATATCAGGCTTTTTATCTGTTAAAATATTTTGTAAAATTTTGAAATCGTTGCATACTTACTGGATTGTTTTGAGTACAATGCAGAGAATGTTTGTTATCTGGGATCATTTAAATTGGTAATTTTATTTATTTATATATTTTGAGACAGAGTCTCACTGTGTTGCCCTGGATAGAGTGCCTGGCATCACAGCTCACAGCAACCTCTAACTCTTGGGCTAAAGTTATTCTCTTGCCTCAGCCTCCCTAGTAGATGGGACTACAGGCACTTGCCACAATGCCTAGGTATTTTTTTGTTGCAGTTGTCATTGTTGTTTAGCAAGTCCAGGCCAGGTTCCAACCTGCCTACCTCAGTATATTGGTAATTTTTTTTTATTTTGTTTTGTTTATTTTACAAAGCAGAACATTGTTCTACATAAGTACCTCAAGAATCATAGTCTCTCAAAATTAGGAAATTGCCATTACTCTCTAACACTGAGAGCTCATTGAAATTTTAGTACTTGTCCAAATAATGCTTTTTTATGCATAAAGACCCAGTGAAAAATCATGCATTGCATTTGTCACGTCTCTTTAGTCTTGTTTAGTCTGCAGTAATTCCTCAGAGTTGACTTTTTATTTTGAGACAGAATCTCAGTATGTCGACCTCAGTAGAGTGCCGTGGCGTCACACCTCATAGCAACCTCCAACTCCTGGGCTTAAGCTTCTCTTGCCTCAGCCTCCCAAGTTTCTGGGACTACAGGTGGCTGCCACAATGCTGGGCTATTTTCTTTCTTTCTTTCTTTTTTGAAACAGAGTATCACTGTGTCACCTTCAGTAGGTTGCCCTGGCGTCACCTCACAGCAACCTCAACCCTTGGGCTCAAGCAATTCTCTTGCTTTAGCCTCCGAAGTAGCTGGGACCACAGGCGCCTGCCACAATGCCTGGCTATGTTTTTTTTTTTGCAGTTGTTCAGCTGGCCTGGGCCAGGTTTGAACCTGCCACCCTCGGTGTATATAACTGGCGCTGTAACCACTGTGCTATGGGCACTGAGCCCAGCTATTTTCTTATTGCACTTGTCCTTGTTGTTTAGCTGGCCCAGGGCCGGATTTGGACCAGCCAGCCTTGGTGCATGTGGCTGGAGTCGTAACCACTGTGCCACGGGCACTGAGCCGTATTTACCTTAGTTTTGTATGCTGTTTTCTTGTGTTTAGATTCAGATCATGAATCTTGGCTGGAAAGTCCCAGAGGTAGTGCTCATTTTGTTTCCTTTCATCTGAGTAAGTGAGCCATGAATTTGCCTGTTCACCACCGGATGTGTTAAGTTTAATTGCTTGATTAAGGAGGGGTCTGCCAGGCTTCTCCTTCCCCCTTTGTAAAATGTTTCTAGGGGGTGGGGTAGCAGAGTAGTGCCTGTAAACTATATGAATACTTTGTTCCTCTCCAGATTACTTTTTTAAATGTTTAGTAATTTATTTATTTAGTTTTGAGTGTGCTCATGATTTCCCATTTTATTCAGTGGGGTGTATAACATTGTTATGTATTTGTTTCTATTTTGTTAAAATGTAAATAACAATAATCTTTTTAACCATTTTTTGGTGTATAGATCACAATCATTAAGTACACTCACAGGACTGTCTTTATGTTTTTATTGGTGTTCAAAATGTCCCAAACTTGATGAGCAGGATCACCCTTAATGTGGTCTCAGGCTTTTGACACATCCTCGTGATTCTTTGAGCACTTGCTTGTTCTCTAGGCTCATCATTTGTTTTACCTGCTCCATTATGGGAATTAGCCACGTACCTATTTTTACATATCCATTACTATGAGGAGTACAGTAGTTCAAAACTTTTGAAAGCAGAGATTGGCTTAAATCAAAATTTGGGTACTAGATAGACTTGTTGTTTTCTGTTAACTGCTTCCATACCTAAGAGAGAGAGAATGCACAAGTGAGCACACAAGTCTTCACCTGTCTGCGTTTCTATATCTATTTTTATATATTGAATGTGATCTGGTAAACTAACCCCTTCGGGTTCATTTTAGTGGTCTCCCTTCTCTATTTATCTACCTGCTTTTTGGCAGTGAGAAACTTGGCTCTCATCCTTAGTATATTTGCTTGCATTGCTGTGGGCGTGATCTGCCTGTTTCTGTGTAACTCCTCCCGTTTCTGACCTTCTTTCTGCGGGAGTGCTCCCCTGCAGTAGCTCCAGTTCCACATGTCATGTTGTTCCTCTGTAAGGACATACTTCTCACTCTCTTTTGGGTCCAGATGTTGACATTTTATTATAGGAAGTAGAACATGAGTAATAATTATCACTTAAAATTTTTTCTTTCAATTGCTTTTTGTAGCCTTAGATGCTCGTCTGGAAGTTGGACTTGAACAGCAGGCGGAGCTTATGCTGAAAATGATGTCTACCCTGGAGGCAGATTCCATTTTACAGGCATTAACAAATACATCTCCTACGTGTAAGTAAAATGAGCATTTCTAGAGGATTGCAGTGAATGTTTTATCTATTGATAATTCTCAGGTACACAGATCAAGGATAGATTTTAAAATTCCATGTTTGGTCTAAGGGAATTAAGTACATATCACCCCTCTTCCTCTAAGTAGCAAGTTAAGAAGAATTAAGTAAAAGGATTAATGAATGGGAAGAAGAGCTTCAAAATACCTCCATGTGGTGATCTCAGTGTAGGCCAGAAACCTGACCTTTTTGTTACTGTGTTGTGGTGAGGTTATTGATATTACTAGGAACCCTGCATAGCTGGGTTAATTGTGAGTTACTTGCACTATATCCAAATTTATGATGAAGTGGATGTTTTTTAGTAACATCTTATCATCCTTAAGGCCTGGGATAGAAGACACGGGGCAGAGGACAGCCAAATGAGCCTGTTATACTGGATCCCAGAAGTGAGGGGATTAATTACCTGATTATCTGTAGAAAAGGAAGGCTACCTTTTCATAACTAGCTAATAGTAAATATTTTAGGCATTGCCCATCATATTGTATGTGTTGGAACGACTCAACTGTGATTTGGTAGCACCCATTTCAGTAGAGAAATTTGGTCTTTTAAATCTTCCTTTGTTAAGTTGAATTCTTTTGGTTTTCTGTATTCATTTATTTCTTGCTTTAGAAAGTATAGAAAAGGGGGAAAAAACAAGAAGGAATGATCTAGTTTTCTATCATCTTAATGTTGATGTACTATTTAATATTTTTGTAGCTAATCTCCCAGGTAACTGGGTTTGTATGGTTCTACCTCTGCATGATTAGAGATAACTCAGCATTGCCTGAAGTAGCCCTTTTCTTTGTTAAACAACAGTTCTGATTTCAAAAGTTTATTAGAGGATCCTTTTGAAGTTCGTTTGCTTCTCAGTTTTCTTTTGATTATGCTGCATACACCTTTTAGCATATTGTTCTCTTTTTAGTATAATGTTCCCTTTTCAGGATAATGTTCTAGATATATGAAAACCCTTTCTTAACACTACTGGTTTTCTCTGCTCCTCCTGGGTATGTTTTTATGTGATTAGTTTGGTGTATTAACTGAGCATCAGACGTTTTGAAAGCTTCTCAGATGACTCTGATGTGCAAAGTTAAGAATCAGTAAACTAGAAATTAGATTACCGTGAAACTGTCTTCTCCGTACTTAACATTCTTTTTCTTTTCCTTTATTAATATGAAAAAATACAGTTAGAAATTGCTAGAGAGTAGATTCTTGGCTTTGTTGGGTAAATTCTATGAGTTTTATAGGTTTTCTTTATAGTGATTGTCTTAAAAATAGAGTTATAAAGACAGTTTTTCAAATATAGCTTTGAACCATTTTAAAGAATGTAACTTTAGTTTTTTTTTTTAAAGTTTTTACCTATTTTTACATACTAGTAACCAGTTACTATGCCTACTGAGACTTAACTTCTTACTGTGTTTAATTTTCAGTGTCACAGTCTCCCAGTGGAACAGACGATTCACTTCTAGGGGGTTTACAAGCTGCAAACCAAACCAACCAGCTTATCATACAGTTATCATCAGTCCCAATGTTAAACGTTTGTTTCAACAAACTTTTTTCCATGCTTCAAGTCCATCATGTTCAGGTATGACTGTAGGAGAAAGGGTATGTTTGTTTCTTTTAGTGCTAGCTTAGTAAAAAATGAAAACTAAGTGGGAGGATCATTCTGAACTGGAGGATTCTTTATTATACTCAAGTGGAAAAATATTAGAAATACTTTACCAAAGTAATCACAACTCCTCTCTGATATGGTGTAAAGCTTTATTCTTTAGTATAATTCTTACTATTGTATATACAAATTTCTGACTTAAAAGACTTGAATCACCTATTATGATTTTTTTGGTTTGTTTGTTTTGTTTGAGACTCACTTTATCGTCCTTGGTAGAGTGCTGTGGCATCATAGCTCACAGCAACCTCCAACTCCTGGGCTTAGGCGATTCTCTTGCCACAGCCTCCTGAGTAGCTGGGACTATAGCCCACCGCATTTCCAGCTATTTTTTGTTGCAATTTGGCCGGGGCTGGGTTTGAACCCTCCACCCTCGGTGTATGGGGCTGGTGAGGGGCTACCCATTGAGCCATAGGCACTGCCCCACCTATTATGATTTTTAAGATCTTTTATATGAGGTATAAGTTTTTATTCAGTTAAATTCTGTTTCAAAAATTTTAAGGTAGATTTAGTTTGCTTGGCAACTGAATTGAAGTAAGTATAGGAAGAATTTTATTTATTTATTTTTTTTTGAGACAGAGCCTCAAGCTGTCCCCCTGGGTAGAGTGCTGTGGCATCCCAGCTCACAGCAACGTCCAACTCCTGGCCTCAAGCGAGTCTCCTGCCTCAGCCTCCCAAGTAGCTGGGACCACAGGTGCCCGCCACAATGCCTGGCTATTTTTTGGTTGTAGCCGTCATTGTTGTTTGGCGGGCCCAGGCTGGATTCGAACCTGACACCTTAGGTGTATGTGGCTGGCGCCTTAGCCACTTGATCCAGAGGCGCCAAGTCAGAAGAATTTATGATTGCTTTTTTTTTTTTTTTTTTTAGTGCAGTTTTTGGCTGGGGCTGGGTTTGAACCCGCCACCTCCAGCATATGGGGCTGTTGCCCTATTCCTTTAAGCCACAGGCACTGCCCGAGTCGGAAGAATTTAATAGAAAAAAATTTTTTTCTCAGGACAAGGACTTAAACCTAAGATACTTGTTGAAATGGTGTTTCATAACAGGGTTGTTTTTTATTGTCAATTTTCATTCTTTTTCAGTTGGAGTCACTTCTGCAATTGTGGCTCACATTGAGCCTAAATTCTAGTTCATCTGGAAACAAAGAAAGTGGAGCAGACATATTTTTATATAATGCTAATCGAATACCTATCATTTCATTAAATCAAGGTAAGATTTATTAGGAGGAAAATCATTATAAATAACAAGCTTAAAATGCAATGATTAGCTTAAAATATACTCAATCTTTGCCATTAGAGTTAAAATGTTTCTGGTGGGGGGGGGGAACCTTTTTTATATTCAATTTATTAATTAGAAGGAAAGAGAACAGAAAACTCTGTATTCTCTGTTTTAGTTATTTTATGCCTGTGGGCAGTTAAAATTCTCAATGTTCTCTTAATGTTTACATCATATTTTCTTAAACATTTTTCTTATTTATAGCCTCTTCTGCTGCAACATGTATTTGCTTTTGTTTAATATGAATGAACCCCACCCCTGTGATTTGGTCAGCTGGAGAAAGTTGTTGATTTCTTGTAGAAGTTATGTTACCCGCCCCATGGCACATAACAAGCTCATGGGAACGGTAGGAATGCAGTAACCTTCAACAGGAAAAGAAGTAGACTTCAGTATGGGCTATAAGAATCTATTTTTGTTATATTTTAAGAAAAGTAAAAATTAGCATCTATTTCTGGTGTTTTCTCCCTAAAGTGGTTTATCTCATATCTGGTTCAGCTCTTAAATGGTCTTCCAACCTTAGTGACAGTTTCACTGGCTCACAAATTCTCTCATCTGTGCATTGTTTTTGCAGCAGCCACCCCTGCTTTATTCTACAGATTTTTGTCCTTTCTGCTGTAGTATTAATAATTATTACTTTGCTCTCATCTCTTTTTAATTTTGTTACTAATATTAAATATATAAGAAATACAGGAGTGAAAATATAAATATTCCTTATTATGAATCTGGACAGCATTCTACTTTCCAGTTGCCTTAATGTTATAGTATTTTTTTGTTTATCTTAAGTAGTACCTGTGCAGGATCCATACATTTGATTTAATTACATTTCTCAAGACCCTCTTAATCTGAATCATTTCCCACTTAAAAAAAAATCTCCTCTAGGCTTGGCGCCTGTACCTCAAGCAGCTAGGGTGCCAACCACATGTCCCGGGGCTGGCAGGTTTGAACCCAGCCCGGGCCTGCCAAACAACAATGACAACTACACCCAAAAAAATAGCCAGGCATTGTGGCG